AATCTGTCAGTGCATTGGAATGTTCACTCAATGCAATAGAGCTTGAGAACCTTCTCAGACATGGCTTGAAGTCTTCTGCAACAGTCAAAGAGAGACAGTGACAGATGGCATAATTAGATTTCAGAGGCTGGAGTCAAATTGGAGGACCTCAGTCTAAAAGCCTGCTACTGTCAGATGAGTCTCCAAGGTGAAACCTGATCACAATGGATTTGCATTAAAATGTTTCAGTCTGGTGCTGTACAGAACTCCCAGAACCTGACTCATCTGTTTTCCACATCAGTGTGGTATACAGTCCTCCTGGTTTCCTGAGCTCTGCTTTTTCTGGCTAACAGAAAAAATGATTGCTATTTTCCAGAATCAACTCAATTGTGAAGAACATGACTGAAAATGAGATGCTATTTACAATAAATATGTGACCTTTCATTTAATCTCTCTTGTGTGCAATGAAATAGTTAACAGTGCTGACATTTTATTACCATCCTACAGTTCTCACTGCACCAAGATGAGCTTGATAGCTCACACCTCTTCAAATCACTTGTTCTCTGCAAGCCTGAAGAGGATGAGGCCTTTGCTGCATTAATTATCCCCTTTTTCAGCTACAGCAAGCTGTCAGCTCAGCTCAGCTGTAAGATGAGATTTCACCTTGAGAGGTGTAGCTGTGCAGTGTGCTGGTTTCAGTAGATAAATCCTTTGAGTAGATAAATGCTGATGTGGATGCCATATACCTGCCTTAATGCACTGGTCATAAACCAATATCACAGAGGAAACAGCTGCATATGACTTTTAGCCACTTTGCAGCATGAAAAGACCATTCCAGAAAACGGTGGTGTGGTGAGAGCTCTGAATTAAAACATTTGAAGCACTGAACCTTTTCTCTTTATCAGAATGGAATTCTGGACTGGTTTTTGGCAGAGCTAGAGTTAATTTTCTTCATAGTGGTTACTGTGAAGCTGGACTTGTGCTGGAAATTGTGTTGACATCACAGGGATGTTTTGAGCAGTGCTTATACAGAGCCAAGGCCTTTGCTGATTTTCACACCACCAGTGAGTGGACTGTGGGTCCAAAAGAGCTGGGAGGGAACACAGCCAGGACAGCTGACCCCAACTGGCCATAGGGATATTCCAGACCATGTGGCATCATGCCCAGCACATGAAACTGGGGGAAGAACAAAGAAGGGATGCTTGGAGTGATGATGTTTGTCTTTCCAAGCCACCATTATACATGATACAGTCCTGCTTTCCTGGAAATGGCTGAACATCTACCTGCCCTTGGGATATTTTGTTTTTCTTGTATGCACAGCTTTTGATTTACCTATTAACCTGTGAGTTTTCTCACCTTTCTGATTCTCTCCCCCTGCCACTGTAGGGGGATTCTGCAAGAGCAAGCCAGTAGCTGTGTGGGGCTTTGTTGCCAGCTGGGATTAAACCACAAGAAATACTTCTGTTTGTTTAGATCTCCTGCAGAATAGACATACACCCTCTAAGTTTAGTGAAGTTCCCAGAGAAAAGGGGAGCTTGTGTCTTCCCTCAGAGCTGCTGAGTACGTGTCCAAGAGCACAGACTGGGGCAGGCAGGAGGACAAAGAAAACAGATCAGGAGACCTTGGAAAAGGACCTGATTGTAGCAGACCCACAAGAAGTCATGGAAGTGAGGGAAAATAGGCTCACATGTAATCATGTAAAAAATGTGCAACCTGCCAAGTCAGCAAGCTTGTGGAGTAGAAAAGAGGACTGAGAGAAAAAACCTGTTCTTTAGGGGCAGAGGGAACAGAGGAGATTTATTTTCATGTCTTTTACTTTCATGAGTAAAGCCAGCAATTCTGTGTCCTCTGCAGAAGTGTCACTTTCTGGCATGTTGATTTACGTTCTAATAAAATATACTTTTAGATACTTAGATGGCCTTTGGTATGCTCATTAGAAAGAGAAGGCAGAATGTGTCCAATTTCAGTCCAACATGAGGTTCTAGCAACATCTTCAAACTGGAGGAAATGCTAAGGCTGACCAGGAAGGATAGGATAGGGATGAGGATAATTTCTATTTAAAGAAATGCCTTTGTGCTTGGGGATCCCATAGTTATTTAGATATTAAATTCTAGGAATATACATTTTGGATTGCTTCTGAATAAAGCTAACTCTGTGGTAAAAACTAGCAAGTTTTGACTTTTCCTGAGGTTACATTTTAGCTTGAAATAGAAATTTCATCAGAAATTTCTATGAAAATGGATGAGATTATTCTTCATGTTTTGGAAGCTCCCCATCAAGTATTACCTAGGCCAAGTCCTACTTTGCTTGTGAGTCACTGTAAAGTCACTTCAGACACACAAATTAACCAAACCTTCTAGGATTTTTGGCAGACACATTCTTTTGTAAGAAAAAATCAAAAGACCATGTTTCTAGCAGCATGTACAAAAAAAAAAAAAAAAGCAAATCAAAGAAGAAAATTCACAAATAATATTTACACTAATTCTGCTTACCTGCACTCTAGTGATAAAAGAGGCCAGTAAAGTGAAGACAGTTTAACCTTTTATATTAATAAGACCTCTTTGCAAAAGCAGGGAGCTGTGTGATAGGATAAGCAAGAGGATTTTTTTACTAATTAACGTGCCATCTGGGGAAAGTTCTTGTCTTACTAAAAGTCTTTTGAATTAATAACACAATACAGGGGATTTCATAAGCCTTCTACAAATTTTATGTAAACGTAAAATTGTATTTAAACTTGATTCAGCAGATTTTAAGCTTTCTGATGTGGTTTCTTATTTGAAGTGAATGGTACCTGATTCATTCAGAGGAGAATATGACACAAAGGCATAGCAAAAAGCACCACTTTCACTGCCTCTTTCTTTACAGCCTTGAAGCATGAAAACCCATTATGTTGGGGAACTTTTACATTGCAGTGAGATCTTTAGGAGATGCTGAGTTGAAAGACAAGTAAAATGTTGCTGCTTTAGTATATAAATGAAAGTGTATGCAGTTGAACATGCACAACACTTTTCACAATTCTTGCTCAACATTTGCAAACATTATCCATAAAAAAAAAAACCCAGCTTCAACACACTGGCTGTTTGAGTGCTTAGGTTTGCTTAGTCATTTTCTGATGAGGTCAGCCATACTCTGCATGACTCAGAGCTCTGAGGCTCTCAGCAGCATTATACTAGGAGAGGAAATACTTTGTTGTCCAATTTTCAGAGACACTCATTGAACTCATCCAGAAACTATCACAAGACAAAAGCTCCTTTCAGTTCCGCTCCTGGTAAAATCATCTTAGTTTAAAACACACACCTCACATTTTCTTGGAATGCCATTAAGGAGAAAAATACTTGTCATTTAAAAACACATCCACAGTAATAATGCATCACAGAACACTCTTAAGAGCTGAAGTGTGTTCACCCAAAGGATACTTAATGCTCAAAATGAAAAGGCAAAAACATTTAAAGGAATACATAAGAAGTGAAAATGCAGTAAACTGTGTTCATTTTGCAAGTCAGAAATAATTTCCCAAGAAAACAGAAAAAACCAAAAGTAGTTGATATGGAATGGTTCATTCAACTACATTCAAGAAGATAATGAGATTTCAGACAATATTATTAAGGTAAAACCACCTGTAGTTTTCTCAAAGAGGCTAATAGTAATGATATGACTAATTACTTCAAGTTGATGCTCATTAAGATCACTTCTTATAGCATTGTGAATGTTCAAGAACTGGGCTTCACAATATTCTGGACAGAAGAAATAATATAATTTCACATCTGGACAGGGGGTAGTGAAACTCAACAAAGTCAGATCTTGTACCACAGAGGAAGACTGACAAGGGTTTGACTAATCATGCAAAGATTGAATCTTCTAATTCATTGCATATTCCACATGAACTTTCAATTGCTGCATTTTAGTGCTCGTAAGGTTTGGAGATGGGGTTAATATTTTTGGAATAACTTGTGAAAAACTTATTTATCAGTACCAATCAGATTGGCTAACTTTAGCTGTCTGTCCAGATTAATGCAGGTTTTGAAAGTACTACACTCAGACACAGCTTTCAGACTGCCACTAAAACCATTCCTCAGCCAAAGGAAAGAGCAACTTGTGTTCCACCAGTGACACAGAGAATTGAGAGATCAGTGGTTACTGCCCCAAAGTTTAAAGGCCTAAAAAAAAAGGAGGAAATGAGTGAAGTGGTAAACAGAGGTTTGTTTGGACTATAGCTATGGGTATTATTCCTATAAGCCCATTAATTGCAAAATTTCATTCACATACATTGTGAAATCTTGGGATTGCTTGCTTTTAATTTCAGCAGAAGCCAAAGGACACAAAAGTCCCATTCCCTCACCTACTCTTCACACTGGATAACAACCTGCACCTCAGACTCTTTTTCTCTCAGTCTCACAAGGGCCTTGCAAGAGAGGCTGCCTTTGTACATGTAGACAACACTAATGCACATATAATAAAATCCTGAGACATGAGGCAAAATCCTTTCCTCCTACACAAAGCTCCACCAGTGTTATGTGCACCTGTGTAATGCCTGAGAGATATAGACAAGGCCTTTGTGTTTGCCTTGATATGTGATATCCAAGTGCTGGATTTCATATGAATGCAGAAGTAAAAGCTGTTTACTTTGTTGGAAGGAAGAGTTCCAGAGAAAAGCCACTATCATGTGGCCAGGTGCAATTGCCATATTTCTGTATTTTAAGCTCTGTGAGTAACCCACTGGAGTATTTGCCCAAACAAGCACAATCTTTGGATGCGGAACTGCTAAAGGCAATGGGGGGGAGTAGGGTCCTCCTCCAGTATCTAGTCTTATCCACTAAGATGATCCTCAGTGGGAAATTTGTATTTCAAGGGTTGGCTGTGATAGGCCACTGGCTCCATAATCCACAGCTGTAATAAGAGATAACACAATGTGCAGATGAGCACAGCCTCACGCTTGTTTGTAGCACTGAAGACATTTCCCTGTGAGGTCCAGACCACAACTCCTGGGCTCCTTCTTACATGTTCTCTTTTTTTCTCCTCAGGGAACAGCACAATGTTAGTGACCGTAGGTAACAGCTTGGTTCTCAACTGCCCTATCAAAGGACAAATAAGTATGCTAAGATGGACAATAACCCCCAAGGCTGGAGGCCCTTGCACCTTGGTATACAGGACTGATAAAAACATGACACACAGAACAAACTGCAGTGACAACATAGATTGGAAATTCATAGCAGGTCCGGCTGCTGCCCTTGAGATACAGCAAGTGGAACTAGCCCAGGAGGGAAATTACAGCTGTGAAGTGGCATCAACAGATGGGAATTTCCTCACGATGTACCACCTGACTGTGCTGGGTAAGGAATGTGCAAAAGTGGAGCTTTTGTTTTTTTATAAAGTGGAGAGAGTAGGATTAGATTAGATATTAGGAAGATATTTGGTATTGTGAGGGTAGTGAGGCACTGGAACAGGTTGCCCAGAGAAGCTGTAGATGTCCCGGTGCTAAAGGCCAGGTTGGGTGAGACTTGAAGCAACCCAGGCTTGTGGAAGGTGTCCCTTTGCATGGCAGGGTGTCTGGAACTAGGGGATCTTTGAGGTCCCTTCCAACCTAAGCCATTCTGTGATTCTATGACTTGCTGGGATAAACTCATGCATTTCATAGGGAGTATCTCTGTGTCTCCTTTCTCCTTATTTCCCATAACTCTTCTCCCTTCTGCTGTTCCCTTTTTCCACTGTCTAGTTAGACATGACAGGTGTGAAGCAATTTCCCAAGTACACACAGAGGATATGAATGGCTGTGATAAGGCTCAACTGGATGGGTGAGAATTGTGCAAAAGGGAAAAAGAGAGCTGTTCTTCATCTCTGGTGTTTTGGCTCTATGTTGCTGAAGTGGGATGGGATGGGATGACACCCTCAACCTTACTCTTTTTTCACTGGGTTAAGTTTGGGCTCATTTTGGGTGGAGAATGAGAATAGCCCAGCGCAGCTGTACCAAACTAACTCCATGCATCTCCCCTTGCTGGTGCATTGCAGCCCCCCCGAGGCTGAGCCTGTACTGTGATGAGCAGGGCAGCCCGGTGTGCGAGGCAGCCGCGGGGAAACCACCGGCGCAGCTCTCGTGGGTCCCGGAGAGCATCTTCTCTGCAGAGGAGACAGGCCACCACAACGGGACAGTGACTGTTCTCAGCAAGTTCACAGCGTGTAGCACCAATGTAACCAATGTCACCAGCTGCATGGTGTCCCACCCAGCTGGGAACTGGAGCCAGTCCATAGCCTGCTGTCCCTCAGGTGAGCGTCCCTTTGTGTGCTCAGTGCTCAAACCCCTGTTCAGCTCTGTCAGCTCTTGTTCCTTCTAAGAAGGAAAGTCTCTAAAAGACACAGAAACCTTCAGTGAAGTCCTATAAAGACAAGAGTATCTGCATTTGCCCAGAAACATCACCAGCTTGTTTGTGCTCTGGACACTATTTCCTAATGCTTCCTTCCCTAAGAGGGATATATATAAGTGTGGTAGTATTCTTTTGGTATTGGAAATGCTTTTGGAAACAGAAAGCAGTCATGATCTTAATGTTCAAATAATCACTTAGAATGAGAATATTAGGGTTTTTTTTTTTTTAATACAAGTTTTAATGTCATGGTAAGAGAGATGGAGAGCCAAGTCTTGAGTGGCTAGCAGAAAAAAATACATTCCCTCATTCCAAGTTGTGAATGTCTGATACTGTATGACCCTTGGGTTCTGGTCTTTGGTTTTATTATTGCTTTTGGGAATATATATGACTACTGAGAAATACTGAGTCCTTGAGAGGGACTCAGGTGTGGCTTAGTGAAAATATATTATGAATAACCACTGTGAGATTTGTGGAATCTACTTTTGCCTCTGACACGGACTCCATTTGCGTTTCTCAGCAAAGTTTCATTTCTAACTTTCCCTTCTACTGAAGGACATTCTATTTGTTTTGCAAGCATGCTGAAAATTCATGTATGTACTAAAGAAACCTTAATCTTCTGCTGAAATAATAGAGAAACTGAGAAGAAGATATAACTGAGACTGTCTCTTTATGTTTAGAGAAAACCAACTTTTTCCTGTATGCCGGCATCATTACTTGTGCTCTGATCATTATCACCTTGCTGGCTGTCATTTACTATTTGAAGCTCCACATTTATAGGTATGTATGTATGCTAAGGTACTAAGGAAAAATTGTCTAGTGCTAGAAGAAATTTTAAAGTACTCTTTGTGTCTTGAAATCATGATTCCATCAGTCTGTGATGCTCTGAATAACCAAATTAACTACATCAAATATTTCTGTACTGCAGACACTGCACTGTGTATTGCACACAGCTTCACAGAATAATGCCTCTAAGTAAAATATAAATGGGAAGAAGTTGGCCAAGGACCCTGATTGCATTGCCTCCTAAAGGTGAACACTTCATTCTGATAGGAATCTGTGAGAATAAGCCTTCTTCAGATACTGTGATAGTCTGCCAGTATCTCTTTTGATTAGATCAGAGCATTGGTTCTTCTCTCTAATAAGTTCCAATAAATGCCAGAAGACTGAGCAATGCCAACCTGCCATATGAACAGAAGGGACAACAGATTGCATCTGTATTCATTTTAAAATTCCTTGAGTGAAGCTGGGTTCCAGTCCCTTTAGGATTTCCTATGAAGAAAAAAAAGTAGTTCTGTTTTCTACAGAACTGATTTGTGCAGTGGAAGGCTGAATTAGCAGCTGTACTGAAAACCTCAGCTAGGTTCCTCATTTGCCTATTCCAAACTGTTTTTCTCTTAGGCCTCTTCCCTCAGAGGTGAAAAATTAGTTCAATAAAATTTCACTAACTGCAAAAAGAATATCCTTACAGAGGGATTTTGTTCTAATCTGTTTCCATTTTATATATAATCTCCCACAAACATGAGAAAAGACCTCTTAAGAAAGATAGAGTACTATAAATTCAGGATCAAAAGTCAAGGAGAGAGTAACATGAGATGATTTCACTCTTGAAGACAAGAAATAAAATGTTTCATAAACTTTTGATCAAAGAAACCAAGCTGTGATCCAGCCAAACATGTTTTAATACTTGTTTTCTTTGTCACAGACCATGCTACAAAACCAAGCCTCCTGAAATTGCTCCTATACATTCCCAACAGGTAAGGAGAATGATACAAATTAGATCATCACCAAATTATGATGATTCTGGTAGCCATGGAAACATGATCAGTGAAGGGAAAACATTAGATTTTTACTCTAAGCTTTCAGCAGGTACTACTGTGTCTGATACATTTACTCTTAGCTCATTATAGGTCAAAATGAAACTTATCTTCGCTATAACTTTGACTTGGAGCAAACACTAGAGATGTGTTCCAACAGCAAACACTCAGCTACTGCCACCCTTTAATTTTAACAAGGAGTGAGTCACATTTCTCTTGTTATATCAGATACTCTGACCACAGCTGCTCTCCAAATAATAATCAGGGAAGGGAGACAATAGCATGGGTTGGGGGATATTAAGAAAACTATTAGTGAACAAGATTAAGCTACAAGATTAACAGACACCAAGAGAAAAAGAGTATCCCTTTTGGTGTCCAGAATGATAATGTGTGAGCTTTGAAGGCCACTCTTTATCTTGCACGGTCAATCCACAATCAAAGAAACAATCAAAACAATGGAAGGAGAACTGAGCTGCAAACTGGGAGATATTATTTGATTTCCTATGTTGTTAGAAGCTTCCTGTGTAGCTGAGCAGTTCACTTGTAAGGTCTGTGTTCTCTGCTGCCAAATCCAAACAACATCTCTACGCAGACAAGATGTGTTACAGTTATATTGTATCTGTGCACCCACAGTATACACTAGGCTCCAATTCTTGTCATCAACTTAAAAACATGCTTCAGTTTCTGAAGAGACTTAGTCAATTCTAGTTATTAGTATTCCTGTTCTGCTGCCCTCCCTCCCAATTGCTGCTGACAGACACAGTTGCATTAATGTAAAATAATGGTTTAAGTACCAGCATTCTTGCTGTCATGTCACAGGACTTTTGTTATTGGCATGTCTGTAGACTGAAACTGCAGGCTGAAGAGGAATGAATTAAGGTCAAGACTCAAGCATATTTATTGCTTTTTCTAGAGAATTAGACCCTAATAATTTTTTTTTCAGGCCAACAAAAGTGGAGTAGAAGGGAAGATAAAGGAGGCAGATGAAACAATAACTCAGCTTCACCCTCCAAATCTTTGACAGAAACAGCAATCCATGTTCCTTCGTACAAAAAGAAATAGAGGGTTTTATTTTCTTTAGTTGAAGAGGAGTAAATATGAGAGCATTATTTCCCAGTTATTTTCTTCAGTCCAGATGAAAGATTTGCAGTCTTGCCACGCTAAACTCCTCCTTGTATTCACAGCTTTTGGTTTTGTTTTGCTAGGATGACACGATGGAAGTGGAACCCTATACTACTTATGTGCAGAAGGAAAATGTAATTTACAACTCAGTGTCTGACCTGACAGTGGGGCAGAATCTTCCACAAGACCTGTGTTCAGAAACATGAGTGATTCAATAACCCCAGAAAAGGAAAGAGATACTTTATAGAAGACTGGTTATAGAAAGAAACTTCTCAAAAAATTTCCTCAGACTTTGGAGCACCATAGATCACTAGGTCTATTCAAACACCTCTGCTTTCTGATGAGTCCATAAGTTCTTTTTTCCCCGTTTTCGTTTCTTCCTTGGTAAAATGTGTTATTCTTGGGAAGATGTGACTGACCACATACCATAGTTTTTCCTGGAAAAGAAGTTGTGACCAGTCTTCCCTTTGCTGTTCTTGCCTTGGAGATCCTAGTTTTGTCAGTCACTTGTAGTTGTTACTTGGATGCAGTTGACACTATGATGCACAAGTTTGGGAGACCAGAGGAGTGTTCTGTCTCAACTAAAACAAAACACTCTTCCACCAACAGCCACTTTTTTCTAATATGTATGTTAGTAACACATTACCTGGGTACTGATCTTCACTGAATACCTCAAATAGCAGAAGAATAGTAGGGAAGACTTAGTTCTGAAAATGGAAATAGGGATAAATTTAGAAGGTCATCCACTAAGAAGGAGACTGCACTAGCATGACTAATTCACTTCTTAGGTTCATATCCAGTATTTCGATATGCCATTATGGGATGCCATCCAGAAGAATCTGGACAAGATAGGTAAGTGAGTCAATGGGAATCTCATGAGATTTAACAAGACCAAGTGCAAGGTGCTGCACCTGGACTGGGACAACCTCTGGTATCCACACAGGATGGGGCATGAATGGATCGAGAGCAGCCCTTCTGAGAAGGGCTTGGGATGAATCAGAGTCTGGCCATGAGCCAGCAAAGTGCACTTGCATCCCAGAAAACCAAATGTGCCCTGGGCTGCATCCAAAGCAGCATGGCTGGCAGGGGAAGGAGGGGATTCTGCTCCTCTGTTCTGCTCTTGTGAGACCCCACCTGCAGAGTTGCACCCAGCTCTGAGGTCCCCAGCACAACCAGGACATTGACCTGTTGGAGTAGATCCAGAGGAGGCCATCAAGATGATTAGAGGGACAGAACACCTCTCCTGTGAGGAAAGGCTGAGAGAGTTGGGACTGTTCAGCCTGGAAGAGAGTAGGCTTTGGGGTGACTGAATTGTGGCCTTCCAGTACCTGAAGAGAACCTGCAAGAAAGATGGAGATGGACTTATACAAGAGCATGCAGTGACAGGGCAGTGGGGAATGGATTCACACTGAAAGAGAGTAGGTTTAGATTAGATATCAGGAGGAAATTTCTTTGAGGGTGGTGAGACACTGGAGCAGGTTGCCCAGAGAAGCAGTGGATTTTCCATCCCTGGCAGTGTTCAAGAAGGATGGGGCTTTGAGCGACCTGGTCTAGTGGAAGGTGACCCTGCCAGTGCTGGGTGGACCTTGATGATCTTTAAGGTCCCTTCCAACCCAAACCACTCTATGATTTTGTGATTTCCACTAAATATATTCATTCTATGTTTCAGATCACTGGCATGATTATTTTTCTATAAGATTCTATGAAGATATGGCATTCTTCTCTTTCTTAAGAGTAAAAGCATTAAGATACTGTAAAATACTTATGCTACTCAAAACCCATAGGCTACTTTTACCAAAAACAAACATAAAATATTTAAAAAAACAAGTACAAATATATCTTCTACGAATGTGCAATAATGTACAAAAAGGATAAAATGCTTTCTAATTGTAGTCATATTTATTTTAACTACCACAACTGAAATTTTTTTCATTTGTATATCTAGATATTTTACTGATATTCTTTTCAACGTACTTTCAAGTTCACTTTTTTGTATGTAAATTAGCTTATGTATCTTATTGTGTCTCATTTTGAGCTGACTTATTCTCTCCTCCACAAAATACCTCTTGGGAATAAGTAAAATAAATTGTCCTCTATATAGTAGCAGTTCTCGAATTTTTTTGGTTGATGCTTTTCTAGCTAAAGTATGAACAGACTATACAGTAAGAGTAAAGAAATATAAACCTCTGTTGACTAGCTCTTATTTAAAAGACTGACTGGGCATTTGGTCTGATTGCAGCATCAGAAGAACTGGATTTTTGCTTTAGAGTTAGAAATATCTTTTGACACACATTGTTAGAGCTTTCTTTAGAGCTAAGCTCCCAAGGGCTATGACACAGTGCTTGGAAAACACACTTCTAAACTGATTGCAGTTCCTAAATGTATTACTCATGTAAACTGATACAGTTGGTTATTTACTCTCACTCTACCAGCTATGAAGCAGCCAGGTGCTCTCCACAGGCAAGTATTGCTTTTCTCCATTTCTGCATGTCATTTTAGAGTGGAGGGGATTAAAACTGAATATCAAGCAGCTACAAACAACTTTTAAAGGAACTTCAGTTTCCAGTGACTGACAAAGGAAGAGAGCCAGTCAACACAGGCATAATCCTCTGAAATTCCTCACTTAAAATTGGTGTTATACTGACCAGTGATCTTTTTTCCCACTAAAAAAATAGAGTGCCATCACTTCTTAAGACATTTTTTCTGTGGACTGAAAAGTGTTTTATGTTGTTCAGTGCTCATAAATGGGGTTCATCAGCTCTAGAGAGTAGATTGTTGCCTCTTTATAAGAAATATATATTATATTTACAGAAGTGTATCACCTGCTAACCTACTGTCTAGCTGTAGGGTTTTATGATCTTTCACAGGCCTATTACACTGGACTAAATCACACAAGTTCCAGATCTGGACATTGCTAAGTTTCTAATTGGCTAATTATTTTCTTTGTCCTTTACTTTGTTCCACATTCAGACCTGCTATGGGCAAAAAAGCAGAATTTTAGTTCGTGACTGTGATAAATAATATTGAGTTAAGAGTCTTATGTGTACACACATGCACAGGTGCACTCTTGGTGCTCACCAGCAGCACAGAATTCTAGAGGAGAGAGTCCTTTTGTGCACACCTCTTTCTCCTCTCTTCACGGTGCTGCTGTTGTGGTACAGACATCCTCCACACAAAGTGCTGTGCTGGCTGTTTCTTAGCAGCCAGGCCAGCCTGTCCTCTGAGCTCCCCAGCATGTTGCAGAGCCACAGGAAGAAAGTCAGCAGCTTTTCAGCTCATCCCGTACAGTAAGGCTTTGGCTTTAACCACATTTACCAGTACTGTATCTTGTGCCGCAACATTTAATTTTGGTAAATTTGCATCTCGCACTTTTACTGCTATATTTTATCTTCACAGGCATGTTTCAGTCTCCTGATGGTTTATAGCTGCCATATCTGCTTTCAACAAGCAGTTACTAATCACAGTTATCTTATGACTGTAGAGACTCCTGAGCACCCAGCTCACATGCACAGCACGTCAGCAGATTCTCTGCTGCTGGGCATCCACAGAGTAGCTGCTCACCTATTCTTTAGGATGGCAGTGAAGTACTAAAAAATGGCTGCACCACAAACCCTGAGGCTGATTATAGCTTCTGTACATGCATCAATTTCTGGGTGTCTCTAACTGGAAATTGTTTCATGGGAACAAGATCAAGCTCTTCTCTTCATCAATGTGACAACACCACCTAAGATTTGGGTACATTGCAAATATCAGCAGAAAGGTCATTATATCCTCACTTACCTGCTTCAAACACCTTTCCTAATAACAGAGTCCAGTAAAAGTGTTGTTTCAGACATTACCCAATCTCTGGGCAAGCATCCCAACAACTTGCAGGATTTACAGCTACATTCTCCCGCCAGTATCACCTACTCCTATTTGATGGTTTACTACTTACAGCCTAGTTTGTAACCCTGCTGTCCATCATAACCCTTTGGATCAGTGTGACTGCTGAAGTACAGTTATTTTCTGTTATGAATTAAAATAACCTGAGCATCTTCTACATTGATCTTATTGGCTACAGAGATTTAAGTTTTCCTGTTAGAGGTGGGTGACTCTCACAGGAGCATTGTCTCTCTAGATGTAGCAGGGGTTTCTTCACACAAATCTAAAGAATAAATATACAACTCTGGAGAATGAGTGTATTGGCAAGGGAATTCAAAATATTTTTTTTCAAAGGCCCCAATTTATTAAAATTAAATTTAAAAGGTTTAAAGTCTCTAGCAGAATAAAAACTGATTCATATTTAATTGGTAGGGAAATAAAACTGTCCAGTGCGTTTAGTCATAAGTAGAGAGAAAGATAAAAAAATACATTTGCACAGTCAGATCAAAACCTATTCACAGAAAATACTAAACGAAGAATATTCACTACTAAATATGTAAGAAAGGCTTCCACAGCATAACCTTTTCGCCCTTGCATTCACCATTAAGAAATCTTTTCTCTCTGGAGGACTAAAGATGACAGCTATTTTTGACCGTGTGTTAAGTTTGAAAATAATTCACCTCATGCTTTTGTCATTTACCTCAGATAGCACTGTCCTCCATCAGGCAACTGCACAAATATCCAGAAAGGTACCTCATCATTTTTTATTCAATATCTTTGCTAAAACTCTTCAATGACATCTGCTCAATAGCAATTACATTCTTAAGGATGTGGGCATACTGGAATTATTGCTAATTACATAAAGACTATCTTGTAATTTCCTTGTGGTCCTCATTATCTGCCTCTGTCAGCACTACTTTTCAATATGTGCTTAAAACTTTGGGCGTTACAAGGCAGATGATATCTTGAAGTTCTGAGTTTGCAAAGCACCTTGAATAAAGACTAGGGATCCACCACCTTTAGAAAATACAAATTATAAACAGAATCTGGAGCCCAAACTGGACAGGAATCTTGTTTGCTAAGTATTATGATTTATACTAACCAATTCACTCCAGGAGATACTGCTTCCATAAAAGCTTCCTCACTCATCAGTACACACGAATTTCTCCATTAAAAAGATCTGAGAATCACACCTGCTTCCGTCCACAGTATCACAGGTGCTACATGCAAGTGCTAATGCTATGTAGTAATATTCCAGCCTGAGTCATCAACTCATAACACTCAATTTACTCTGACAATTTCCCTTTTTTGTAAGAGTATATTCTTATTACACCATGCACCAGTCCTGCTGTTCTTCTCTGAATACCTCCTCCTGCTGTTATTCACTGAACTCCAGTAGTTATGATGTAGGTATTAGTATTACCTTTAGCAATCAGCAGTTGCAAAACACTGGTACACAAAGAAGCTCAGAGTGAGGAGATGCACACCGTCAGCTCTATTCTGATAGCATCAACGTACTTCTTGCAGAGTTCTTGAGACTGACTTGTAAAATGACTGTGTAGCAGGATAACTATTGAGAGGTTATTTTGATGGCCTTTTTTAGCTTCAGTTAGCTTGATCTTTAGCCTCCCACTGCTGTTCAGTAAGGCAGAAAGTGATATGTCACTGTGGTAAATTGTGGGAGAGAGAAGAAAAAGGGACTTCACACCTTTGCTGCACGAAGTTACAAATTTGTTTATTCTTTATGAAAGATTCTAAGGTCTTTCACTTTATCTCAAAGCCTTTCAGACATGTATCTCTTTTTTTAGCTTTCAGATATACTTCAGTATATTTCATCCTGGGTATGAGAAATATTCTGGCTATATCCAAATGAAAACAGTAATTCAGGAACAGATTATGACCACTAGATGACAGTTTTACCTCACCTTATGAAAAACACTGCCACAGAGAAGCATTAATTCGCTGCATACTTTGTTATTAGATTTGGGATAGTAACTAATTTTCCTACATTGCCTACAATTTCCCACATAGAGTTTCATTTGTGGTAGAATGTTCTCACAAAAAAGAAAAAAAAAAGTAATTTTCTCATGCATAACAACACTGAGAAATAAGGCAATTCAAAGGGAAAACAACAAAAATAACATACTATACACCAAGAAACGCAGAAATCTTTGGAGATTTCTTCATGATATGCACAACACTCAAATGCTCAGTGACAAGTAGGTTCTGAGGGAGAAGAGAAGAGAAGAGAAGAGAAGAGAGGAGAGGAGAGGAGAGGAGAGAAGAGAAGAGAAGAGAAGAGAGGAGAGGAGAGGAGAGGAGAGAAGAGAAGAGAAGAGAAGAGAGGAGAGGAGAGGAGAGGAGAGAAGAGAAGAGAAGAGAAGAGAGGAGAGGAGAGGAGAGGAGAGAAGAGAAGAGAAGAGAAGAGAGGAGAGGAGAGGAGAGGAGAGAAGAGAAGAGAAGAGAAGAGAGGAGAGGAGAGGAGAGGAGAGAAGAGAAGAGAAGAGAAGAGAGGAGAGGAGAGGAGAGGAGAGAAGAGAAGAGAAGAGAAGAGAGGAGAGGAGAGGAGAGGAGAGAAGAGAAGAGAAGAGAAGAGAGGAGAGGAGAGGAGAGGAGAGAAGA